ATGTTATATACCACATCTGGAGGCATCGAAGCTTCAAGGTTAAGGTCATAGCCAAATATGTTATATTTTCATATTTTCCTATCCACTCCATAACCATAAAGATGTTGGAGATTAAGGATGTAACTTTTCATTCTTGCCAGGATACATTAACACTAGAAGGTGTATTAACTACTACATTAAAGGTGCGATTATTAACTTAACCCTTTAATCACAGCAGACCGCATATGCGGTCCAGAGGAAGTAAGTCCGTCAACCCTATGGACCAAGTTTTCGGTCTAGGGCAGTGTTCTTCTTTAACATTATAGTACCAGACTAAATATCTTTCGGGGGTACCTCTAATAACTTCCATATGGTAATGTAGATGTTATATTTGGATTATCTCGTGAGTTTAGCTTGTATACAACTAGAAATAACGAACAAAGTAGGAACTTTTTACTTGTTTTCTGAATGCTGAAATTTGTATCCAAAATGGCAGCGTTTGAAGGATTTTTAGAGGAGAGTTTTCGGAGGATTTAAATAATTTTGACCTGATAAATTTGTTTGACAATGAGAGAAGACCTATGGAGAGACAATGGAATGCATTTGTGACAGTGATTACGATGAAGATGACTTTGAAGGTTTTGAACCAGACGAATTGTATGCTCCACATGTTTTTTTTTTTTGGACGAAGCCCGAAAACCAAAGAGATTTGTTTCAGTTTTCTGACAAGAGTTGGGCACAACCGAGAGTTATATGGCTCCAGGAAAGCTTCGAATTATTTTCAAATATTCTATTCAGATGAAGTTTTTGGAAAAATTGTCCGTTTAACGAACTTCAATGCGACGATCAAACGTGGCAGAGGCGATATAGGTCACTTAGGTGTGTGGACAGATCTCACCTTGGAGATCATTTTGGTTCATTTTATAGAATTTTATATATTATGGACACCATGAAAGAAAGACTTGTGTTGCTACTGTGATTATTCACTAGTACATCTAGGGTCAATTGAACAAGTTTTGAGAACATTCTAATTTTTCTAAGAGGTAATAAAATAATTGTATTTTACCTGTTGTTACCTGTTTGTACCTGCATTTTAACAGTTGTAATAGATATGCACATTTTATTAAATTAGTCATAAAATTTGATTTTTAACCTTGATTTTGACACCTAATCTAGCCAGATATCTTTAACATTGGCAAAGTTATGTTATTTCAAAGTCCACAAGTCATTTTGCTTTACAACTCCAAAGTTACTTAGTGTTGAGGACTCTATGCCTACAAAGTCACTTAGTGATGAAAGGGTTAAATGAATCTAAATGAAAATGAGACCTCTTGCTGAGTTAGTGCGGCTGCCACTGTTTCCAGCTTGAAAATCTTGATATTGCTCCTACCACATGATTTCTAGTTTGACATCTAGTATGACTGCCATAGTGGCCATTTAAAAAATCTTGTCACTATTCCTCTTTTAACATGGTCATATTGACATATTTTCACTACTAAACTTCTTGAGATATCTAGTTGGTTTGTAATGAAAAGGTAGCTAGTCCAGTGTACACTATGGTTTGTATTTTTAATTTAAAAATCTTTTCCCTCTTATTGAATAGATGGTCATATGGACATGGCATTTTCATTAGAAGACTTCATGTGATGTGAGTTCTAAATGTAAATGGTGCTGATGTACTATGTACGACGGTATGGCTACATTGAAAATCTTGTCATTGCCTAAACTGAAAGTCTTTCCATGGGAAAGATTCCTAAATTAAATTGTGATCTGACATCATATAAATGCACATCTTTTTCGATATTGTTTGCATGAAGGGGGCCAAAAACATTGACCTCTGAAAAATGAAGACTGTATTGTCTTCCTGGCTAGAGTCAAAAAGACAGTGAAAGGTGATAGTGCTTCCAGTACTGTTTAATGGCTGTTTTATAATGATGTTAGGAATAATTGTAAATTGACAGCTTTTTCTAATGAATTTATATGCTTTTTGGTATAAATTGCCTTTGTTTTTCCAGATAACCCATCTGAAAGAACTCAAAGAGGTTCCAAAAAACATCATAAACATGTGTGCCTCATTGTGTACTTGCATAACTTTGGGTATTATGTTACTGCTTTTGCACAACAAAACTTAAGATTCCTTTCAATAAAAAGAGTAGAGACATTTGTTTCATGTAAAAACTGTCAACATTGAAACTCAATTTTAAATTATTTTTTTTTGTTGAAATATTGACAAACGTGACAGAGGCGATATAGGTCACTTACATGTGTGGACAGATCTCACTTTGGAGATCATTTTGGTTCATTTTATAGAATTTTATATATTATGGACACCATGAAAGAAAGACTTGTGTTGTTACTGTGATTATTCACTAGTACATCTAGGGTCAATTGAACATGTTTTGAGAACTTTCTAAGTTTTCTAAGAGATAATAAAAAAATTTAATTGTATTTTACCTGTTGTCTTACTTGTTTATACCTGCATTTTAACAGTTGTAAAAGATATGCATATTTTATTGAATTAGTCATAAAATGTGATTTGTAACCTTGATTTTGACACCTAATCCAGCCAGATATCTTTAACATTGACAAAGTTATGTTATTTCAAAAACCACAAGTCATTTTGCTTTACAACCCCAAAGTTACTTAGTGTTGAGGACTCTATGCCTACAAAGTTACTTAGTGATGAAAGGGTTAAGTCTGGTCACAATCAAATCAGAGAACAGGCAAAATGGACTGGGTTCACAATCCAGCAAGAAATGATGGCAGATCTAGATAAGAAATGAAAGTCCTTTATGCTTTCTTTCCAGAAACTCTTAGTTCATTAGAGATACCATTTCAAGTCTGACTAGACAGTGTCCTGTCTCATAAAACTCTTCTACTATGCTGGAAAATGAAGGGATTTTACTAGGAGTGGAAACTGTTAGCAGCAGCTGGTTCTTAGTCAGAAACCCATAATATATATGCTGGGTAACTTGGTCCTATCAAAGGTGAAGTAGATATCTACTTCATCAGCAGACAGCATGAATTTATGTCCACGTTCTTGATACCAAGGCAACCCCTCCCCCCAAACATTTCATAAGAGAGGTATCATTGTGGGCTATGTTCTATAGAATCCGAAGAGATTTTAATTAGCAGCATCCCTGAAATAACAGAAAAGGACCACTTTGGAACAAAATTTTGTGTTTAGGATCCTTTTCATTTTAAACTTTGAATAATGCCAGAGATTCTGTTACCCAATTGAGTCTCAAGTGTGATATTGATTGCTGAAGGGTAGCATTTAATATATTCGGGTTGAGTTTTTTTTCTTTTTTTTTTCTTGTGAAAGAAGAAAGAATAAGAAGTCTGTGCCATTTTCTACAGCTGAATGGAGGGGATTCATATGCCATTAAAACAATCCAGCCATAACTTTTTAAACTTGTTCATGTGGATCAGACAATTGGAAGACTTAGGTTGCATAAATCCCTCTGGGCAGCTGACTATCCCAGCCTCCTTTCTTCAGATATTGATTACATATACATGGAACAGGATTAGATTCTTTTGTTGAATTGAAACTGGGGCAGGATCACCAGCTGTCTTGGGAGTTGGAAGTGTTGGCTGACCACTCAGTTCAGGTCAGAGTGGAGACCATAGGTATGCTGGCTGACCTCACATCATGTAATCAAGATTTTGTCCACATTTTAGGACTTGTAGGGTATCAGTGGTGTCTGAAGAAATGTCTAACCTTATAAATTGTCACATTTTATTGATGGATAGTAAATTCACTTCTCAAACCAGTCAGGAGTGACACAAAAACTAGAAAGCAAGCATCAGGTCTTGTGTCAAAAAAGTCCATGTATGGTCTGTCCAAATTACCTGAACATGCTTGGAGGGTCCATTAAGTATGGATTGTCAAACCTTGAGTGAAAGCAAGCATGGTGGAGCTAGATGTTGCCCTCTGTATATCTATATATCTTGCTTTGAAATAAATCTGATGCGGGATGTACATGACTGCAAGACTCCACAGCATGGTAGGATAATAAACAGGAGAAAGTTTCTTCTTGCTTGTTTATGTAAGCTACCACTTTGGTGTTCTCTGATGCTAAAATTGTGGAACAACTGAAGAGCCCACAAATCTTAGTTTCAGTACATTGATATGAAGTTGTGTGAGGACAAAGAGTCTGCTACTCATGGGTCCACTTGGTATCCAGATGGCAAATTGGATGGCAACAGAAGGGTAGGAAAGGGTAAGATGCAGATTGAGGCTGATAAGGGTCACTTATATCCAGCCTTCTTTGCCATAAGTAAGAGGGTTCTGGCTGGGACCTCTATGAGGTTCCGAAGGGTAGCAAGTTCCTATGTCCCTCTTTTCTGAGTAGTAATCTCAGAACTGAACTGAAGTGCACTGTCAAGGATTTCAGTGTCTTGTTGCCTCATTTTAAGAGATGCTTGTCTGGTCCCTCCTCCAGGTGCTTGCCTTGATTACTTCTAAAGATCTCTAACTTTGAGATTCCTGTTTAGAAACTAATTCTTGCTTGTTTTCTAGACATTTTTCCTCTTGTCTTTCTCTTCTCTTGGAAGATTCTTCAGTAGGAATCTGGAGATGACATTGAGCCTACACATCGTCTGCTAGAGTCACCAATTCCACCCATAGAGGCTCTTGTGCTCTTGACCTTGTATTCATGTTTTGTTAAAGTTATGGTTTAGATGAGCAGTTCCTTGTCACAGTATGATGAACTTGGTTCTATGATGAGCAGCATGGGTCTTAATTTCAGATGCATTCATCATAATTTCTTCAGGTAAGAAACATTCAAAAGAAGCCATTGGTAAACTCCTAGAAGAAAGTTTGCTGGCCATGCTGATGTCCAAGACTGAAGCTAATAAAAAAATTCCCCAAAATGTGGAGAGTTCTTAAATGTAGCTGCACGTTGAGAAGCACTAATAATCCAAACAAATAATCCCAAATCAGAACTGAATATTGATCAACAAAGCTGTAATAGGCTGAAGTGGTTCACTGTGTACTTACCTGACAGCCTACCGCTCCAGTGGCCTATCGGTTAGAGTGTCTGCCTCTGATGCGGGAGGTAATGGGTTCGATCCCCAGTCAAGTCATACCAAAGACTTACAGAAATGGTACTAACAGCCTTGCTTAGTGCTCAGCATTAGGAGGTTAATGTTAGTACTGGTCAGCCTGGTGTCAGGATAATTCGACTGGGTGGGACATCATGCTACATGTTTGAGGCATGATGCCTCAGTGCATTACATCACTATAGACTGCCACACTGCAGACATCATAGGGACAGGACTGAAAAATTGTTAAAGCTACATTAAAAATTATAATTGCATCACACACTTACCTGACATCCAGTAGAAGGTAGTGAGGTATGGCATATTGTGTGAGTGTAGATTATTTGGTAATAAACATGGCCATTCTGACAGTCATTTCACATTTTACTTCCTTAAGATAAATGTTTGAGTTAATCATGAAATTTGGTGAGGGGTTGCATGTTGATGAGCACTGTACCCCCATTTACCTAGTAGGTCATTATGGCTTATAGTTTATGCGTCATGTTCATTTCTTGTGCATTGTTTGAGATGGAATCGTGAAATTGAATGATGTTGTGCATCTCTGTTAGTACCATACCAATACAGCAATATATAAACTGATCATGACCTTTATTTCATCTTATGGCTTTGTTTAAATTTATGTGTTTGAATTTTTGACATACTGTATGCTTGCTATCGTACCTGGAATCATTCAACTTGGTATGGGGATGCTCCTTAACGAGTACCATTATACTGTTATTGTAAAAAGAGGTAAATGAAACCAATATTTAATGACTTACTTTATTGAAATTTTGTGTTTAAAGTTAATTCATTGGGTACAGTATGGTAGCTTGGTCAGTTGCACAATTATGGTAGCTTGGTCAGTAGCACATAAATCATAATCAAAAGGTTGTGTGTTTGATACCCACCAAAAACAGCTCATGTTGGCTGCCTTGGTGTGTCCTTCAAATGGTACTTATCTCCCATTTCCTTAACTTGAAATAGTAATGTGCTTAAAATGCCATTAAAATCAATCAGCAACAACATTTGTTTGTCCAAGAAATAACCCTAATGACTTGGAGGTATATGGGTGTTGAATGTTTGTGTGGTTGCATTATTTGAAGGTCAAGGTCACTATCATAAAAATATATTTGGTCATTGCATTTATCTTAAGACAATATGTTAGCAGTTTACTGCATTTGTTAATGGATAACACAAATACAAGATGAACAACAAGCAATGCTGTTCTTGTAGAACTCTTTCCATGTTAAAAATGAAAGTTGTAATTTTTCTGATGAAATGTGAGCATATTATTTAATGAACATGATGGAAGAGAAAAGAGATGCATATACTGTTCATAGTGCTGGTTTGTGTGGGTGGATAAATGTAGAGTTCAGTATAGTAACTAGAGAGTAAAAAGCATTATGATTAGGATTAGACTGCAACTCTAGTGGTAATTTAAATTGTGTGGATTAAGGGTGTAAAACCCATTTCTAATGGTGGGCCAGATTTGATATAATTATACATCACTTGGCTATTGCTAAGTGATGAGCTTAAGTTTGACACTAACAAGAGACCTAGTCTGTGGGCCAGACAGATGATTCTGGCTGCATTATGTTTGACACCCCTTATCTTGATGGTTTTTTTAAATTTCTTGACTGCATCAAAATATATAGTTTTCTTCAACTGATTGCAGGGGATTCCCTAGTAGTAACGAAGATGGATCAGAACTATGCAGTAAACTTTGTATTGTACCTTTGTAACAGTGTTAAATCTAGAACTGTGCTTTATTTAGGATAATCCAATATATTTTACAGTTGTCATTGCCATGGAAACATTTATTGTTCAGTGACAAATTTTGAAATAGCTTGCATTAAATGAAATACAGACTAACTGTAATTAAGGAGAATTTTAGCACTTCTTCACATTTATTCTTCTCTTCCCATTAACAACCCTTTTGATGTGAATTATGCACCTTGAAGGTCAAGGTTGCTATTCTTGAATAGATAAGGTAGTTGCACTTCATTTTGGTCTAGAACTTTAATTATCTGTTTTCAACAGAACTTAACTCATTAATTGCTGACATCACATTTACTGGACAGGAGGTTGTAGCCTACTTCTGAGCTTTGTAGCATCAAGGTCATGTACGACTTAATAAAGTGGATGGTATTATAGAAAGGTAGACAGATGTAGCTTTATGAAGATACCAAATAATATGGATGTTCTAGTTGCACTACAAAATACAGAGGGAAACAATCCCTATTTTGACCAGGTTTTTATTCAGCTGAAATTGGCCTGAGAGCAGAATCTGGTTTTGTGTCTGGATTTGAGACTTTTTGGTCTCAGATTTAAGACAGACCAATCTGAACTGCACACAGGTAAACCTTTGCAAAAAGTTTTTAAAATAAAGAGTGGTTTTGACATGAAAATGATGGGTCCATTAAGCAAAAAAAATAAATAAAAGAATTCCAACTTTTACCCTTCTGCTCATGCCCAGCCGAAATAGTCAATGCAAAGCAATGTTTCTAACACAAGTGGGCATTAGGCTAACTGAAAATATCTTGGAGGTCGATGTATTAGGATGTTGATTTCTTTCTTGGGATAAAATACCTATTTTGTATACATGCATTCCTGACCCAATCCAACCATCTGTCCATCTGTCATAAATGTCATTTTTGCAAAATTTTATCTTATGTAGATCCTGGTTTTAAGTTTTGTTTTCACCATTTTATAACATAATTTGATTGTGTTTGACTTGGCACATTCAGCTGGCATAATCAATGATTCTTTGTTTAGTTGCATCACATTTCCAGGGCATCAATAAACACATTTCTACTTTTTAATTGTCTGCTATATCTTATACTTGGTAATTATCAAGATTTATTTCCAGTTTGAATTAGAAGCATGATAATCTTCTCTAAATAAAAGCATGATAGTCTTCTCTAAATTAATTGTTCATCAATAATTTAATGCAGTCAGGCTGTGAATTTTTGTTTTACCATTCAGTTCATTGAGCAGTAATTTGAACCTTAGTTACTCCAATTCTAGAAAGGTTTGTGAAATACTGTTCAAATGTATTATTTCCACAATGAGACAAACATTTTATACAAACTATATTAAAAATGCTTTTGATGATGAACCACAAGTCAAAAAATTGTTTTTACAAGAACATGGTTTATATAACTCATTTTACTATTATGTTTTAAGGGTTGTATATCTTTATGTTATGTACAGTGTGACCCCACTGTAACACTGTAGTTGGGAACCATAGAACCAGACTGTGTTATGGGCGAAGGAACTGTTGTTATAAGCAATATAACAAATTTGCAGGGTTATGGGGTGGTGGTGGTAATAGAAGCGGGTGCAAAAATTAGGTGTTTCATTGGCGATGTTACCATTTTAAATCAGTTTTATTAAATGAGAAAAATGCCTGCAGTGATAACAGATTGCATATACATTACATTATTTAGAGAACCATGCATTGATGCAAACACCTGTATAGTTTATACATATTTAATCTAAAACATGAATTAGATTATCAACACCTGTATTCACTGGTAATGCCTTGAATCCACAAAACAATTATTTCCTTAAAAAAATATTTGCACATATTTAAAATATGTCAGAAGGTTAAATTATGGTGTATGTATAAATTTCATACTGCTAAATTTTCTCATCTCTGATTTGTAATACTTTATTATTTTTTGCAGGCATATCCACAACCAACTCTTTGTTTTGCTTTGCCCTTCTTCTCTCTTCTGATTGTTGATTCATTAACACCTAAAACTTTTAACTACTTGTGATTAGACACTGGACTTAATCCTTTCCAAAGTTTGAATCATTTCTTTAAGAGCAAAAGCTTTACAATTCCATATCTCATTTTTCATTCAAATTGTTAACTAACACTTGTACACCTATTAGCAAGAATGTCAATAAACAAGAGGGTTGTATTTGTAGGGAATTGACAGCATTATTCACTGTCAACTGATGGCATAAAACAACACCTCCAAGTCATATACACATTTTGGCCACTTGCATTTGATGCTTTATAAATCATCCACCCATAATTTGAACAAGTTTAGCTTGGTAGTTGACTTTGATGACCAATGTACTTAGATTAATTGATTTATGAATTCAGAGGAGAATCTTTATCAACCACCACATTGTTTGTTGCTTAGCTGTGTATGCAGTTTATAGAACATGTCAGATTTTGTTTGAGCAATGATTGTATAGGGAATGCATTGAAGACAAACACAAAGTAGACTTGATGGCTTCATTCCTCATGGATCAGTAATAATAATATGAACACTTATTAACTATCATCTTTCAAAAATAAACAAAGATCAAAGTTCTCAAAAGGCCCAGCCTGGGTTCAGATGAATATATTTCCATTTGTTTATTTTGGCACAAAACTGTAAGAAATTTGTTATATTTAAAAATTTTAAGAGCCACACCAGATCGTTTTATATTAAGAGTTCATAGGTGATTTCCTCCCCTAAATTATAAAAAATTAATTACAAGTTATTTTTGCAATTTGGGAACCATGCCACAGAAGTCTTGTATTCAAACTTATAAGCAATCTCTTTTCCAAAATGATAATAAAACTTTATATGTAATTTACTTTTTCTACTTAAATTATTTTTGTTTACTTGAAAAATACCAGTAATCAGGTAAATTAAATTTTGGGAGACATGTCACATCAGTGTTATATCCAAATTTATAGTGGGGTCACAATACATTGCAAAGAAAGGTAAAATCTTTTTCATTATCATCTTCATTTTGTTTGAGTTTGTATTTGTATTTATTTAGATGGGTTTATCTTCTGATGTTATTTGCAATTGTTACATTTTTAACAATCTTAATTGGCATTAAATAACTAGATTTGGGCTGACATGCTTTTTGAACCCTATTGGTGCAGACAGGGTACATACATGCAAGCATGTGTTGGCCAGGTTTAGATGAAAGGAGACTTGTTACATACAATCATTAATTATCTAGAGTAAATAAAAGCACATGCTTGAAATTTTGCTTCTTGGTAGATAGGCAAAATGAAAAATGTATCTGGT